TTCGCATTCAATCCGAAGTTGCCCTTGCGTTAAAACATCACTATTAAAATATTTAAAAAATATTTAAAAGTTTAAGACTTTTGAAGTAAGATATAAAAATGTTAGGCTGCTTCTTAATACAACCTCAAGACATCTCCCAACATCGGGATAAATTAAGAAGCAGCCTAACATTTTTATATTTTACTTCAAGTGCCATGGGGAAGAAGGGAATGAGTGCACTGGCAGGGCATGATGTTGTTGGTGGCAGCGTGTCACCCCTGTTGGTGAGCTCTGCAGGAACACTGCTGGGTGGTTAGAATATCTCACAGCATAAACATCTTCAGGCCACACTGGACCACATTCATGATAGCACAATGGTCTCAGTGGAATGCTGAAACAAAGTGAACAAAATTCCGTTTCCTAGTATTATGTGAATCAAAGGGTTAAACACAATAATCTTTTTGTTATGTCCTTCCGCATAATTTCTGCTGTACACAGATCTATGTGCATGATATCTCCAATCTCTACCACTTCTTCCCACATTTCCCTCTTGATACCTTGCAAAGTTACTTCCTCTCGTCTTACTGTCTATTAGTATCCAGCCAGCTGGGTGACTCTCACATTCAGAAAATAATTCTTAAGCCCTTCTCAACATCCTTGCTCTAGCCACATTCATTTTCTTTGCATGACCAAGCAGTTGCAAACATTCCTCTTATAATTACATCCCTTCTCATTTTTCTATCAACACCTTCCAAAAATATTATATCCATTACATGCATTACAGTAGGAATAATTAACTTCCACAAAGCAACACACTCTGCTATCCAGTACCATACCATCTGCATATTCTCACACAAGAAGCAAAACTTTCACATAAAACATATCATTTCTATAAAGTTACTTAAGAAGAAAAGTTTCTAGTGTTTAGAAAAGAAGCAAACATACAAAAACTGCGAACTACATAACTCCATACATTTCCCACATTTAAGTAACTCTGCCAATTTAATCACGCACATTGCTTGCTTCACTGTTTCTGTACTTCAACTAAGTCCCATTTTCAAAGGATCTATCACCAATTTCATATTCACATATTAGCTTGTATTTAGTAATTAGAAAATTATTTGTTGCAGTTGCTATTGGCATGTATTCTCACCTCCCTCTGTTGCTGGTATTAGGATGATGTCGTGGTGATCTAGGACGGGCCCCTGTGTAGACCCATGAATTATGTCCATGTGGACCAGGGGTGGGAACTGGGGTAGACAATTCCTTGATCCCACTGTTTCGATCTTCCTGTACTCTCTGCTGCCTGATTGATGCATTTTCACCCTAAGAAGGAAAGCAACTTTCTTTTATGTCAATACTGTGCTATGAAATGCACTCACTACTCTCACTGAGTTATTCCACCTCCTAAAAGGGGATAAATTATGAAATATTATTGTAGAGAAGTCACTCCTCAAGGAATGAGCAGTGGACTGAGAAACTGAAAGTCAGAAATTACATATCTGGATCACTGATTTTCTGGATATTGTCCATCATCTTGTATTCTGAACGAACTTAACGTCTCATAAACACTGATCTGTCCCTGTCCCTGAGGTGAAGGGGTCCTACTTAGGTAGACCCATTTGAAGGAGCAAATATTAGTCACAGAATAATCTAAGTCAATCAACTATATCTACATATGCAGCTGTGATCATGTTCTGTCATTGGGAGATCAATAATAAGAAAAGTGGACATTCCATTAAGGCCTAAAACCAAAACCAAATGCAGGAAAAACAATGCAGAAGACATCTGAAATTTACATGCCATGCTATACTCTCCTACTGCTAGTAGAAAATCACTGGCTTCTGTGATGTTAGTCATCAATCTAGTACACAGATACCAACTTTTCAAACATATCTTCTGCCTCCATATTATTGAAGATGAACATCAGTCTAGCACATAGTACCAACTTTTCAGGCATATCTTCTACCTCCATATCCCTGATGATGGAGGCAATATGCTCCTCTCGACTGTCGGTAAACCAATACCAGATTGCATGGCGTAACATCCCACAGGACAGTAATCCTGATGTGAGATTTGAGGTTACTGCTGCACTGTGAGGACTACTCTCTTCTCGGATACGATGGCATGTAGTCTGGTGTACATTTACCAACAGTTTGCAGGAACAAGCTGTCTCTGTCTTCAGGGTACAAGAATATGGAGGAAACATATTCATCCAACCAGATTACACATTCACACATCCCAGAAACAGTAATTTTTCATAGTCACTGGAGTGAGAACCTCCAATTTCTTAACATAAAATGATTCGTGGTAACAGTGTTGGTCAATAGACCATGCTTCAGTNTACCTGCTGTTGCCTATGTGCATAATTTGCAATGTGACCATATGAAGGTCATCCTGAGAGTGCATTCTGCTCAGGAGCAACTCTACAAAGTTCTGACTGCACCTGGAAAGGTGGATAAAGCTGATAATGATGGTTGTGCGGTGTGCAGTGGCCAAACTGATGGACCTGTAAGGTAAATCCAACAATCACCCAAAGTTACAAAAAATATATGTTCAACTACTTGACTGTCAATTTACAATGCAAACTTTTATTTAAAAAGCTAATTCTTGCTATTCTGTTTCAAACATCATGCTCAGCTTGGTGGTCCCTAAGAATACAGTGAAATCTCAATTTAAGATTTCTTCAGACACCAGTGAATTTGAACATCAAACTGAGGAAAACCTTAAATTGAGATGATTTGAGTTTACTAGCTTGAGGGTCATTAGAACTGAACATTAAATGAGGGAAATCCTTCTACAGAGGAATATTATATGTGGTTTCCATTTCTGCATCATAAGATGACAGCAGTGAAAACTATTATTTCTCTGNCCCGAAACGCCAGGATGCGAGCCGTTCCTCCTTCTTTCCAGTTAAAGCCCTTGGCTGACATCAGGTCAGCTGACCTTGTCCCCCCCTTTCCTGGACGCATGCCGAGCTTTCGTGCGTAGTACAAATGAATGTATTGCTCTCTCTTCCCGTTGACCTAGGAAGGTAACATCGATGCGTTGAAATTTGGTTTCGCTATGTTGAATTGATTTTGTGAAAATTTGGTTTCGGCCGTAGCAGTGTCTGAAGGGGGAAGAGTGCCCTCACGACATGGTCAAGGGTGGATCAAGTCGTGAGGTAAATCTTTGAGTTTGTAATTCAGGAATACAAGTAAGTGACTTACTGTTGTAGATGGTTTCCTTTCGATTATGAATGCCGTGTGGCGTAAGATAATTTGGTTTTGTTTAGGGTTGTGTTAAACCACTTTGAGCAGTGTCCCTTGACCCTGTGGGTAAAGAACCCAGTTCTTCTACCCACTCAGACCCGTGAACCCCTGCTCAAATGGGTAAGGGACAGGCTCATAAGAAACGACTTGCTTGTAACGTGATGTACTATGCCTCCCCAAGGTCGAGTAAGGGATCTCGGGAGAGGAAAACCACTGTCGGCACTATGGGCCAAGCTGGACGGATCGGCTAGTCCGAACTGGTAGGGAACACACTGCACAAGTATACATAAACACTGGCGTTTCCAAACATATAAATAAATGTATATTGATAACATATGTATACAGGTGGACTCTGCCTGATGGGCAGGGACTGGTCAGAACATGTGATAAATAATTAATACAGAACTACACTGTGCCTAGCCGCACAGAACTCAAGTCAGGCACGCCTCATGGCGTCTTTCTACTTCTCCAGTACAAACATGTACTTAAGCAAGCCTTGAGGGCACAAGGAAATATAAACAGGTTACATACACGCCTGAGGGGCGATCTGCTGTTTAACACAACCCAAAACAAAACCAAATTATCTTACGCCACACGGCGTTCATAATCGAAAGGAAACCATCTACAACAGTAAGTCACTTACTTGTATTCCAGAATTACAAACTCAAAGATTTACCTCACGACTTGATCCACCCTTGACCATGTCGTGAGGGCACTCTTCCCCCTTCAGACACTGCTACGGCCGAAACCAAATTTTCACAAAATCAATTCAACATAACGAAACCAAATTTCAACGCAGCGAAGTTACCTTCCTGAGGTCAACGGGAAGAGAGAGCAATACATTCATTTGTACTACGCACGAAAGCTCGGAATGCGTCCAGGAAGGGGGGGGACAAGGTCAGCTGACCTGATGTCAGCCAAGGGCTTTAACTGGAAAGAAGGAGGAACGGCTCGCATCCTGGCGTTTCGGGGGGGGGACTCCAAGGAACTTCACGAAGAAGAACCGTTGCACGGTTCAGGATGTCACCCTCTCCCCAGACGCCAAAAAAAAAAACACACTCACACCTCTTCACTGGGGCCACTCGCCATCCATGCATGACGACGCCTTTTCACTCCTGGGCTCTAGCTGCCTGCCAGCCGAAAACACTCGAGCAAACAGTCCTCGCTGGTTTCCTGCCATGCAGAAACCGGCCACACATGCGCGGAAGTGCTCCCTTCCGGAGAGCTGGTGGAGCCACCCAGTCCATTTCTCCGGCACCACCGTCACATAACACTTGGCCGTTCGCACGCCGACAAGTCAGGAAGGGAGGCCCAACTTCTAGCGGCGAATTCCCGGCCCACAGGAGTCCGAAGGTCCAACTCCTCGTCGGAGACATAATACCAACACACTCTCACTGACGACACAAGTTCGTCACTGGCGGGGCCCACTCGACGTCTCTCACACTCGCGAGCCGAAGGGATAGGATAGAAAGGGATAACAGACTCTGAAACACAAACAAAAATCACGGCAGACGCAGCATCATCTCCGGGGGAAGCTCACAACATATTTACACAAATATTAGGTTGCAATAATACACAGCTTACATTTTATGGCCTACTCGCCAACCCAGTAGCTCTTCAGTTGAGACACATGAGCCTTTCTTACCAGTACACCTGTATCAGGATTCGCTAGCTGAACAGTAACATTTGTCAGAAACTTCGCTATTACAAAGGGTTCGGACCATTTATTGTCTAACTTAGCGGAACGGTGGTGAGCTCTGGAACTCTGAGGGTGGAGCTTCACAAGCACAATGTCTCCAACCTTAAATTCTGCCTCTCTCCTCGACTCACTGTATCGCTTCGCGACCCTATCTCTAGCCTTCTTTAAATTCCCCAAGGCTAGTTCCCAATATGAGTGAGTATCCTGAGGGGATCGCTGAAGATCGTCGTCAGTAAGTTCCCACCTCAGTCTTAAAGGATGGTTCATCTCACGGCCAAGGAAAAACAGGGCAGGTGTAAACCCGGTACTCTCATGCCACGCGGTGTTGAAGGCCATGGCAAGAGAAGGGAGATTCCCGTCCCATCGCGTATGTAGCGAACTATGATAAATAACTAGAGCCGCCTTCAGGTTGCAATTAAATCGCTCTACCTGAGAAGCTTGGGGATAATACGGGGAGGTTGTCACATGTTTTATCCCCCACGAGAAGCAGGTGTTATAAAACAACCGTGACTTGAATACTGACGCATTGTCCGACACAATGCAGTTCGGAACTCCAAAACAGGGAAAATACTTCTCAACCAAACATGACACCACCGCGTCGGAAGTTATCCTCCTCACAGGATACATCGCAACAAACTTGGAAAATCCATCTAAGACCACCAAGATGGCTATATTACCACGACGACTCCACACAATGGGTCCAACGAAATCAATAAAGATTCGTTCCATCGGTTT